ACTCACAACTCACGCAACTCCCAACTTTGGCATTTGTTGCCTACAAACTTTATCACAACTAGGGGTGTAAACGAGCCATGCTCGTGAGATTCCAAGCCTAGCTCGTGTTCGGCTCGTTAAAAGGTATCATTGTTCATGTTCGGCTCCATTGTTTAGCGAATCAAACATGAGTTGTTTTCGAACAATGAGCTATTTCGACAGCCCTCGCCACGCAGTCGTAAGATGTTAAAGATATGGGCGAGATTTAAATCTTATTATTTATATCACAATATTCATTTAAAAAGACTAGTGTTCTTCAGATTAAAAAATACAACTGTTGGTGTTCGGCTCATTTATATTTCGAACAAAAAAAATTATTCGTCTTCGGCCCGTTTGCTTTGCGAGTCGAACAAGAGTTGTTTAAGAGTCATTTTGACAACCCTAATCAAGTGAACACGAATGAACATATCGCCTAAACCCTATATATATATATATATAATTATTTCAAGTCAAAACGAGCCGAACACGAACAAAGATTTGTTCATTCGTGTTCGGTTCGTTTATATATCGAGGGCAAAAAAATTATTTGTGTTTAGCTTATTTGTTTAGCGAATAAATTGATCACCAACTAATTAATGAACCGAACACGAGGTGTTTCTGAGCAACGAGCCATTTTGGCAGCCCTAATCACAGCTTATACATCTCTCAAATTTGACATCTGCTGCCTTCGAACGTCATTGCAGCTCCCACTACGACCCAAGTGACTAGTTATGACAGCGCATGCAACTCCTCTCTCCGGCTTATTTGAGCTACAAACATTATTATAACTTCCTGCTACTTCCTCTGTGACCACTTACAATCAACGTGGCTTCAGCTCATGCAACTCTCAACTCTGTTCTATGTCGTATAAAAAGGTTATCATAGCTCATACAGCTCCCAACTTTGTCCTCTGCGGTCTATAAACATCATCACAACTAATGCAATTCTCAACACAGGCCTTTGCGGCCTACGGACGTTATCTCGACTTTTGCAGCTTCTATCTCTGGCATTCTACAACCTATTGATGTAATTACAGCTCTTTGACACGGTTTACACAGCTCTCAGTTCATTCAGCTCCCAACAACGGCCTCTATAGTCTATTGCCATTATTATCACTCTTCATTATGAACTATTTGACAAACTACAACATACATTGCTCGCAACTCCCACAACTCAAAACTCTAGCCTAATCAACTTGCAAATGTTATTTCTTTTATAACTTTGCATCAAAATCTATAAATTTCATATTTTAAATATATTTCAGATTGATATATTTTAAATGAGTCAGCATGCAATTTCACGTGTCAAACTAATATTGGTTTGAATTTGGCTCGTGACTCATTGAGCTCAGCATATGGCCCAAATTTGACTCATGACATGTGTTCAATAGTACAAAGATGAAATCATAAAATAAATTAGAAATACTTATCATTATTTGTAATCTATATATATATATATATATACATATATATATATGTATAAACTTTATCTTTTTTACTTTTATATTACACAAATTTTTTTTCTCATATTAAAAATATAATTATTTTAACTTTTAAGAAGCTAAATATACCTTTTTATGCATCAGTAGGATGGCATGTATGTAAATATTACAATTTAGGTTTTCGATATGTAAATACATAGAAATTGTGTGATATGTACTTCAAGCTTCCTCTCTCTCTCTCTCTCTCTCAATTTAGGTTTTCGATATGTAAATTATATATGTATAAACTTTACCTTTTTTACTTTTATATTACACAAATTTTTTTCTCATATTAAAATATAACTATTTTAACTCTTAAGAAGCTAAATATACCTTTTTTATGCATGAGTAAAATGACATATATGTAAATATTACAATTTAGGTTTTCGATATGTAAATACATAGAAATTGTGTGATATGTACTTCAAGCTTCCTCTCTCTCTCTCTCTCTCTCAATTTAGGTTTTCGATATGTAAATACATAGAAATTGTGTACTCCCTCCCTCCCTATATATATATATATATATATATATATGCTTGTGTGTGTATGCGCACGCAGGTTCCGTGGCGTGTTGGTAATGCAACATCTTTGAAGGTCGCAAGTCTTCTTATATCACGGGTTCGAATCTCCCCGTGTATAGGATGTGGTACTCGAATATTTGGAACACCTAGGGATGATTGGGGGTTGTTAAATAGCCTCCCGCAATTACTTATATATATATATATATATATATAGAAACACACACTAAAACAGAATAAATAGATAAATGATTTTTTTAATTTAATATATATTTCATAATTAATTTATCATATTATACTAATAATTATTTCTTTTACTCCTCTTCATTGAGTCAAATGCTAACAGCAGGATTGGACAACTTTCTACTATCTTATTCAAGATCGTATTTTTAATTATTATTTAATTAGGTGAAATTTACAAACATACCACACAATTCTTATGTTCTTACATATGCCATATCCAAAGTTCGATATTTATATTTATAACTCCTTGATATTATTAATCTATACATGAAAGTTGCATTTTTGCTTTTAAGAAGTATATTCAAACGTATTGCACACTAGCTAAAAATAAAATGAATAATAATAAATTTTAGAAATTTAAGTGTTATGCATGTAAAAAACAAAATATAAAGTTTGGATTTGTAAATATATAAAAATTGCACGCAATTTAAGTAAATGTCTGCAAAATGAAAAAAAAAACATTACACGGGGACTGCGCAGGTAGAGTTACGTGCGGAGTCCAATGAAATCACGCCACACACGTGAATGTCAGAAAAAGAAAATCGGTTCGGTAACACAGGGGAATATTCCTCCCATTTTATTCAGGTGTTATTATGTGTTATTCAAGTATTATTGATGTGTTATTGTATTATTATAACACTAGGAATATTCTCAGCACACAATAACACATGAATAACATACAGTAACACCTGAATAACATAGGGGAAATATTCTCCCGTGTTATCGCGTCTTCACGTGTAGCATGATTTCATTGGACTCAGCATATACATTACTCTACATGCGGAATCCTGATGTAATATTGTCTCCCTCAAAACAAAGTCGCCTGGTAGACATTTGGAAGGCGATAAGTAGAATAATTAACATTGCAATTATAAGTTAAAAAATAAAATAAAGAGATATATTTTAGAAATTCGGTCTCACTCATAGACAGGTCAAGCCAGCCAGTTCTCAATTAATAATTGGAATATTTACATGCATGCCACTAAATTCTTACGAATTTAACTATCAAACATCTAAACTTCAATATTTAGAGATATACCATCCTTTCCATGCATGAAATTATCTAAACATCTAAACTTCAATATTTAGAGATATACCATCATTTCCATGCATGAAATTATCATATTTTTATTCCATGTGAAAGATTTTGGTGGTATAACTGTAAAAAAAAGTAAAGTTTAGGCATTAGATACGTAAATATTCGTAATGTTAATACAGAAAGATACAAATTAATAAGGGAAAAAAAAACATATTCATCCTAAAAAAAAATAAAAAAATTGAAATCAACTAATAATAACTCGCTCGTGAATATTTTTCAAAAAATTTATCTTCTCGGGCTTTTTTGAGTCGGCACTATAAACATTGGTGATCGCGATAAATCCACGCAAGAGAAAACGTAGAAACAAATAGTAGTGATAAAGACGGCGAAAAGTTTGCCTCCGATCAGTATTGTCACCAGCAACATGGTGATCATTTTGAGTCCGACCAGCAAATCCATTTTCTTCGGGTAAGATTGAGTCGAGTCAGTGGGTTGAGTCGGTTCTGACCAACCCGAGTGGATTGTCTTAGTACTCGTGCTTGACTGAACCGGACCCCGACGGTTCACTTTGCGGTTTGTGGCGGCGGGTTGGTAGTTGATGAATGGAAGGTGATTATTACATCTTTTATTTGAGCATGCAGGTAATGGTTTGCATCTCTTCTCTATCTGTGTCAAAAATATTAAGATGTATTTCAGCTTTTAAAAATTAAATTAATGATATTTTTTATCTCATATCATATATAGAAGGTGGTTATATATATATATATATATATATATATATAATTTAATTTAATTAATCTAAAACCAATTTATTATTATATAAAATAAATTATGAGTGATTTTTGTTACATTTGTATAAGACAAATAAAGACTATAAAGGTCCAAATGCAGGCTACCCCTCGGCTTTAGAATAGTTTATTCAAGGGGATTTAGCATACATAACACTTGAAACATTGCTATTTACAAATCTAACCTTCCTTTTTCATCCAATTTTCAATTTCTGACTCATGCATCAAATTTCACGATGACCCCCAAACTATATTTTACATTTTTACCAAAAGTTTAATGATTTCATCATGAAAACTGTAAATTCATCAAAAAACGGGGGTTAGTTTTGTAAATAGAAATCTTTTGAGTGTTTATGTTAATGTGAATGTAGGCTAAATGGATGGGAAACGCGGTTGCAAACAATTTAACATTTAAGCCCATAAGAATTTGGTAAATTGCAGACCTATTAACTTAACTGTCATAAAAACAAAAAACATTGAAAAATTACTTTTTTTCCATTAACTCTCATACCTTCTTCTTCATTCCTCCGCCTTCCGCCATGAATCCCTCTCTGTCTTCACTGATTTCCTCTGTTAAAGGCGTCGCCTTGTTCTGGCGGCGAACGCGTTCGGCAGGCTTTGCCGGGGAGTCGTCGGGATCACATGCGCAGGAGTCGAAAAGGCAGGAAGGAAGCCATATTTGACGTCTCGTTTTCCGGTGGGTGGAGGCGGCGGCGGCGGGCGGCATCGCCGGCGATGGAGGGGAATGGAGAGCTCTGGGTTTTTAAGGGAGAAGGAGAGGAGAGTGGGTTGGTTAGAGAAGACCACGACTTTTTAAATGATGGCGGCCATTCAAAACTGGGAGGAAGTGGGCCCGGAAAATGCGTTAAAAAAAATATATATTTTTTTTAAATTTGAAACGCGTGCAATTTAAATGATTAATGTGCAAATATTATGGTTTAAGTATTTGTTTTATAGTTTTTATATATTGTTTTTTCTCGAATGAGAGAGATTTTAACAAGAGATATTTAAAATAGATAATTTTTTATAGAAGTTACAATTTGT